TGACAATTCCAAGGTCATGGGGCTGTCAGGGCCCTTCTAAAATCTGTGACAGAGAAAACTAGAGCCTGGCTCCCTGCTCCTGTCAGTCCTCTGTCTCTCAATTGGGATGGTTTCTGACCTGCAGAGCCGACCCTCCGGAGGGGTCACACTGGCACCTCCCACACTGGGTGGCCCCGTGGCGGCCCCATGGTGATGGCAGTGGGCACAGGAGGAGACGAAAAGATAAATGATCTAGCTGGTCATTTTTTTCTTTTAATTCCTGAAGCTCCCTCAAGGGCTTCCTTGAAAAAAACCCGTATTGACCTGTTCTCATCTCAATTCTGGTAAAATCTGGGAAGGGCAGGGCAATGGTGACCTTCAGTCACTTTTTTTTCTTGCTAGCTAACTGGGGGATTTCCACCCTACCACTAAGACTAAGTGGAACAGTGGTAACTCAGCTGCTAGTAGCTCAGTTATAGGCCAGCCCAACAAGATGCAGGGGCTGGGAGCCTGACTGCGGGACCATCCCCACAGCAAAACCTGCATGTGCCCTCTTACGCGCAGTGGTGTGTGAGTGAGCTGGGTGCTTACCGCTCTCATACTTGCAGTTGGTCAGGTTGATGGCCAGGGGTCTGGAATGGAGGAATAATGGAAATCAGGCAGAGTGGGATAAAGGACAGACCCTGGGCTGCGAGGCACCCGACACATCTACAATGCAATTCATTTTCTCTGAAAGCCACTTAAAGACCAGGATGATAGAAATGTGCGGAAAATGCAAACCAAGCCAGCTCAAATGGTTCAGAATTTTGTGTTTTTGTACTACCAAAAGGTTAATGATGTTCCTGTATTCCCTGTCCTCTTTTGCAGATTAAAGGGAAGACCCCCCCCCAACTGCTGAAGGGAGGCCAAGGGGTGACTCTCTTCTGGAGCCAGGCAGGTGAGGGGGCCCAGGCACCTGTCTGTTACCTGCGTTTCCGCCTTCTCTTTCTCCTGCCAACTTCTAAGTCATCTGAGTCAGCTGGGGCTATGATTTCCTTCGGAATTTTCTTGGCTACAATAGATAAGGGAACTCCATCCCCAAATTCCTTATAGTCAGCCTTTGAGAGTTCCTGCTGAGGAGAGTCAGAAGGGATGGTAGCTTCCCCTTGAACACACTCCTCCTCGGATTCCTCTTCCTCAACGTAGTCTTCCTCCGATTCGCTGGTCTTACAGGTATTTGGCTCCATCCTCTTAGGTTCTGAGGAGAGAGGGGTGAGAGTGAAATATGTATCAGAGCTTCCTTCCTCCAGGCCCAGGAAGGCCTGCAGGAGTCCGTGCAAAGGACCTCCTTCATGGTGTTATAGGGGAACGTTGCTGCCCCCTCAGAACAGAACAATCCCGCTGCAGAATGGGATGGTTTCCAAGTAGGTAATGTGGGCCGGGGAATGCCTATGAAATGTTGGATTCCGGCGCCTGGGTGGCTCAGTCGGTTAAGCGACTGCCTTCGGCTCAGGTCATGATCCTGGAGTCCCGGGATCGAGTCCCGCATCGGGCTCCCTGCTCAGTGGAGAGTCTGCTTCTCCCTCTGACCCTCCTCCCTCTCTCATGCTCTCTGTCTCTCATTCTCTCTCTCGCAAATAAATAAAATCTTAAAAAAAAAAAATGTTGGATTCCCCGACAATCCCTGATCATCCAAGATCACCATACAACACGCTGGGGTGCACGTAGAAGCTGGACAGAGCTGGCAGGCACCATGACCGTGGTTTTTTATTCCTGAATGGGAAGGGGGATGGCTGGGCTCTGGGGGGACCTTCGATTTTAAAATAGAGCTGAAGACCAAAGGTCCCCTAAGCCGGCCCTTTCCCTGTCCCATGACTCAGTTTCTCCATGTGTACACACTGGCACTTGCTGGCTAAGGCCCCTTGGGCTCTGCCGGCAGAGGGGGAGCCCCTGGCGGGCACTGCCCACCCGAGATTCCGAGGAGAGGGGAGGGGCTGCTGGGTCCGCCCCTAGCGGTCCGAGGCTGGTCTCAGGTGGTCGCTCATGTCCGCCCTTCGCCCGGCTCCTGCTCCTTCCCGGGCGTCGCTGGGCCTCCGGGACCGCCTCCTCGTTCCACAGGACTGGCTGTCCCCGCCGATCGCGAGGGGGAGCCCGCTCCCCCCCTTCCGGGGTTCGCTCCTAGCTCGGAGATCCCGGCGGCGGCGGCGCCTCCTTGAGCAAGCCAGCAGCCGCCGCCGCCGCCGCCGCCGTCGCCATGGACACGAGGGCGGCCCCCATTGGAGAAGCGTTCTGGGGGCGGGGCCTTCCCGGAGCCACACCCACTTGGGCGCGGGCCGAGGCCATCTTGCGCGCGGGCGGAAACGCCTGCCCCGGGGGTGGTGGCGTCGCGGTCGGGGCCGCGCCTCTGCGGCGGCTCTCGGGGTGCATCGGCCGGGACCTGTAGGCCCTCCGCGTTCGCGCCGCTTCGCACACGTCTCACCGCAGCCTATGTCCATCGCGCGGGCCGGGCCCGGAATTTGGCCAAGTCTGCGTTGGGGACAAACACGGGCTTGCCTGCCTTCCGTGTTTGTGACCCGCGTTGAACACGCTGGGCGCTCGGGAGGGACAGCCGTGAACAGCGCTCGCCCTGCTGCGCTGAGAAACAGAACGGCCTCCTCATGGCGCTCCTTCACCGTCGCCTTCCCTGCTCCTCCTGACGTCCTTACACTCTGACCACCGCACCCAGGCCAACTTGGCATTTTAAGACTGTCCCGTGTGCCTAAATCTGGAGGACACTTTAAAATCTCCCCCCTTTAAAAACACGTGGGCACTGTTTGATTCATACCTTTCTTGCTGTTTCTTCAGCATATATTCTGTTACTCCCTTCTTGAAATGCTTTGGAGTCCCTTGCCTTCCAGGACTATCATTTTTTCTCATTCTTTGCACAAGTATTGAGCGTTCCAGGCACTATTCTGGGACCTGAACCACCACCAATTCTTGCCTGAATTTGCCACCACGCAGCAACCTCTTCATTGGACTCTCTGATTGTTCTTCCCTCCTCTACACCCATCCATTACAGCTTAAGTATTCTTTCTAATGCAAATTGGATACTCCCCAATTTAAAACTCTTCAAGGTTTCCCATTAGATTAAATCCAAAACCCCTTGGTTATATGGGCCCTCTACCAAAATGCAAGCAGAGGTGGAGAGGTGCTGGGCTAGGTCATGCCTTCCTATCTTTCTATGGTGCTGGAAGGTGAGTATGGAGGGTCCCCTAAGTTTTCCACACTTCAGCTTAGAAATAGCTTCTGAATTCCCTTCTTGACAATTCATGAGCTATATAAACAGCTGAGAAGTACCACCATAAAGAAAAGCTATTTCACACCCCCCACCCCATCTTATGGAAAAACTTAGTTTGGCCAGAGAAGGCTTTCCTCTGAACAGCAGTCCTGGGGGAAAAACCTGGTATTTGGGCTCATCACCTGGGACACAAAGTCCCCTTTGCTGTAATGGTCATCTGTACTTCCTTCAGACTGAGCGAGCAACACAAAGTGATGCTATTGGAGCTTGTATACGCAAAGGCTCACAGAAGCATAAGCTAAAATTACTGCGATGTGCCCAAAAGAGGAAGTTGACCCCAAATGTTTTATAGGAATTTAAATGTCAAATATATATTTAAATGTAAATGTTAAACTTTTTTTTTTAAAGGTTTTATTTATTTATTTGACACAGAGAGAGACACAGCAGGAGAGGGAACACAAGCAGGGGGAGCGGGAGAGGGAGAAGCAGGCTTCCCGTGGAGCAGGGAGCCCGATGTGGGACTCGATCCCAGGACCCTGGGATCACGACCTGAGCCGAAGGCAGACGCTTAACGACGGAGCCACCCAGGCGCCCCTAAACTTTTTTTTTAATGAACTTTTTTTTTTTTTCATGGTACATATTCTGCCTTAACCCAGTGAGACTTTATAACATCTTCTGGGATATACAACCCTAAAATTCTATATAAAAACTTCAGACAAGGCCTGGACAGAGAAAGCCAGCTACCCAGGGACCTGACCCTCAGCTCAGCGCCTGTCACCTGTTAAGGACACCACCACTACTATGGGGGCTGTTGTCTAGAGAGGCAGTCACCAGTGCAGAGCCAGCTTCTGGCCGCTGACCACCGGGGCTGCGGTCCTGACCCCAGCACTTGTGAGCTGTCTGGCCTCAGACGAGTTGCCAGACCTCTGCTCTGCCAGCTTGTTCTTGGTAAATGGCCGTATTCAAGTCGTGAAGATGCCTTTTTCACACGAGATGATGTACAGGAGGAACACTCAACTCAGTGCTGGGGGCTGGAGGGAAATTCAAGGTTGGCCAGGCAGGGGGGAAGGTGCTCGAAGAAGGGCCTATGCGGGAGCAAGACCGAATGGAGGGGAGGGATGAAGAACGGTCATTGGAGGCAGGCGAGGGGAGAACATGCAGAGAGGAGAGGGCAGAAGTGGGGGCACAATGCCAGAGGCACTTGAACTATTTGTCAAGACTTGATATGAAAAGTCTATATATAAAGTCAGGAATACGTAACTCTTTTTTAAATATTTTTATTTATTTATGAGCGAGACGGCGAGCACACACACAGGAGCAGAGGGAGGGGCAGAGGGAGAGGGAGAAGCAGGCTCCCCACTGAGCAGGGAGCTCGATGCAGGGCTCAATCCCAGGAGCCCAGGATCACGACCTGAGCCGAAGGCAAACGCTCAACTGACTTAGCCACCCAGGAACCACAGGGTATGTAACTCTTGTGCATTCTCTTTTTTTGGTTTGTTTTTTAAAAAGATTTATTTTAGAGAGAACACGTGTGCATATGTGTGTGGGGGGTGGGCAGGGGGAGAGGGCGAGAACCTCAAGCAGACTCTGCACTGAGCCCGATGGGGGGCTTGATCCCACAACCCTGAGGTCAGGACCTGAGCTGAGTCTGGATGCCTAACCGACTGGGCCACCCAGGCGCCCCCCTACTCCCTTCTTAGTAACAGGTCTGACATCCCTGAGGCTTGTCCAAGAAGAAAAATGAGAAGCAGATACATTCATGACGGCTCATTCATTCGATTTATTCTAAGGTTTCTTCTCTTTAGAGATCACTTGTCAGTTCTTTATCCCTCCCCTTGGGCTGAGACGGGTAAGGTGGCAGTCATGGAAGCCCAAACGACCACATGGAAAGGGACTTAGACCAGGTAGAAAATAAATACTTCTAGAAGGATCACTGCTCGTCCTGGGCTATCACGGCCACCAGGGCTGCCTGTACTTCTTCTGCCTGGGCCGAGGGCAGCAGACAGTCTTGAATGAGGGCCAGAGCGGCCGCCTCTGTCAGACTGCCGAAATCCCGGGACGTTTTGACAGGGAGGTGCCCGGCCAGCTCACAGAGGGCGACATTGAACGCCTCGCCTTCCTTCACCCCAAAGCTGGACTTCCGGGCCCACAGAATTACGCGGACGCCTGTGAGAGCGGAGGAAGGTGATGTCTTTCCAGGTGGGGCCCCCCGGGTCACAAATAAATTATGGGCAATCTCATGGTCGGTCAGGTAGTCAGTGGCCCGACACACCCTGCCTATCAGGGCTTCCAGGTCGGGCCCCGGCCCGCCTGTGTAGAAGAGGAAGCCGGGAGCTGGGAGGGCCCGGAGCAGATGCAGACGGCCGCCAGGGTCCAGGGGCTCGCTCGGCGCCCCCTCCACGGGCAGTCTGCGAGCCAGGTAGTAGCCGTGCAGGTGCAGGTGGTTCACCGAGGCCGAGCCCCCCAGGCTGTTGAAGCCGACGCGGAAGCCCGGGTGTGAGCTCAGCAGCACGGCCTCGACGCCGGCCCGCAGCGCGCCTGGCAGCAGGCGCTGGGGGAGCCCGCGGGTGGGCTCGGGCACCAGCAGCACGTGGCCCCACTCCAGGGGGCTGACATTGATCATGACGAGGATGTCCTCTTGCCGGAGAGCAGCCGGGAGATCGGGCTCCCGGAGCAAACGGAAGAGCACTTCTCCTGGCCGGACCTTGTTGAAGTTAAACTGTTCAGGGTCAAATGCCTGCTTCACGCTCCGGATGTTCTGGGGGCGCCTCCTCTGCACGCCTCGCTCCACATTCAGCTGAGCCACCAAACCCACAGCACCAGGGAGGGTCTGGGTCTGCAGCTCCCCCAGGCGGTAGCGGAAGAGCCCCAGGTCCATGCGCTGCCTCCAGGCGGAGCAGAGAGCAGAGTCGAAGCGAGACCGCGGCGGCGTGTCCAGGAGGCCGGGGGCAGTCCTAGGCCACTGAATCCCTTCCAGCACAAGTTCCTTCTGCCCGTAGACAAAGTCAGGAATGCCTTGCTCTTCCCAGTCCTTACTGTTTGGAGGGAGCAGATAGGAAGTCTCATTTGAATCCTGTGGAGCGGCCATGGCGCTGACCTGAAACAATCACAAGAGGTGAAAAATACATGATGTTGTCCCACTTCTAGAAATTTTATTTTATTTATTTTTAAAGATTTTATTTATTTATTTGACAGAGAGCGCGCGCGTGCGCACACAAGCAGGGCGAGTGGGAGAGGGAGAAGCAGACTCCCACTGACCAAGAAGCCCTATGTGGGACTTGATCCCAGGACCCTGGGATCACGACCTGAGTCGAAGGCAGATGCTTACTTGACTGAGCCACCCAGGCATCCCTATTGAGTAAACTTTCTTTTTTTTTTTTTTAAAGATTTTATTTATTTATTTGAGACAGAGAGAATGAGAAAGAGAGAGCACATGAGAGGGAGGAGGGTCAGAGGCAGAAGCAGGCTCCCCGCCGAGCAGGGAGCCCGATGCGGGACTCGATCCAGGGACTCCAGGATCATGACCTGAGCCAAAGGCAGTCGCTTAACCAACTGAGCCACCCAGGCGCCCTTGAGTAAACTTTCTTAATGGAAGAAAAAAATCTTTAAAGATAAAATACAACCCTTATTCCAATGCCCGGAAAAAAATCATTTACATTCAGCTTTTTTAAAGATTTTATTTATTTATTTGAGAGAGACAGAAAGGGAGAGGGAAGGTGAGAGAGAGAGAAGCAGCCTCTCCAGTAAGCAGGGAGCCTGACACGGAGCTCGATCCCAGGACCCTAAAATCATGACCTGAGTCGAAGGCAGACGCTTAACCGACTGAGCCACCCAGGCGCCCCAGCTTTTTTTTTTTTTAAATTAAGTAATCTCTATGCCCAATGTGGGGCTGGAACTCACGACCCTGAGATTAAAAGTCACATGCTCCGGGTGCCTGGGTGGCTCAGTCAGTTGAGCATCGGACTCTTGATTTTGGCTCGGGTCATGATCTTGGGGTCATGGGATTGAGCCCCATGTTGGGTTCCATGCTCAGCTCGGAGTCTGCTTGGGATTCTCTCTCGCTCTCTCCCTGCCCCTCCCCCTACTCACCCTCTCTAAATAAATAAATAAACAAACAAATAAATAAATAACATATAGGTTGTTGCCAGTTTCATATCTGTTTGTTGCAATGAACATCCTGTGTATCTGTTTCCAGACATGTTTTTATTTTCCTTTAAAATAAAATCCCAACCACTGGGTCAGGCTTTTGACACACACTCTATCAAACTGCCCTCCAGAAAACTAGCAGTGTTCCATTGTATAAGAATGGCCAGGGTTTCAAAGCCGTCTACTCCTTTTATGGGAACAGCTTTCCCACTGTTCGGTAGGGATTCCAAATGGCCAGGCATAGAGCCATTTGGGTGAGGATGGCCCAGGACGTGCGTGAGTGCCACGGCCAATCCTTTAGGGGGAAATGGATGGCTACCTTCATCTCCCACGGGGCCCCTGGAGCCCTGTGGACCCGGAGGTGTCAGGGACAAGGACCTGCTGTTGGCTCAGACAGGACTTTACAAGGAGGCTCACCTCAGCAGAGCTGCTTCGCTTCACTTCAAGTCTGGGTTCCCTCAGCTCTGCTGGTCCAGAAACTTCACATGAATAAAACAGAAAGGAAACATTAAAAAACATACAAAATGATCTATCAAAAGTTGAGTTTAATGGGTATAGCGTTTCAATTTTTTAAGATGAGAAAGTTGTAGAGATTGGTTACACAATAATGTGAATATACTTATCACTACTGAACTGTATACTTAGGGGCGCCTGGGTGGCTCAGTCAGTTGAGTGTCTGACTCTTAGTTTCAGCTCAGGTCATGATCTCAAGGCCATGAGATGGACTGAGCCTGTGTTGTGCTCTGTGCTCAGTGGGGAGTCTGCCTGAGATTCTCTCTCCCTCTGCCCCTCCCCCCACTCGGTCTTTCTCCCTCTTTAAAATAAATAAATCTTGAGGCGCCTGGGTGGCTCAGTCAGTTAGCCATCTGCCTTTGGCTCAGGTCATGATCCCAGGGTCCTGGGATGGAGCCCCGCATGCGGCTCCCTGCTCAGCTGGGAGCCTGCTTCTCCCTTTTCCCCCCGCTTGTGCTCTCTCTCTCTGTGTCAAATAAATAAATAAATAAGATCTTAAAAAAATAAAATAGGGGTGCCTGGGTGGCTTAGTTGTTGGGCGTCTGCCTTCGGCTCAGGTCATGATCCCAGGGTCCTGGGATCGAGCCCCGCATTGGGCTCCCTGCTCGGTGGGAAGCCTGCTTCTCCCTCTCCCTCTCCCCCGCTTGTGTTCCCTCTCTCACCGTGTCTCTCTCTGTCAAATAAATAAATTTAAAAATCTTAAAAAATAATAATAAAATAAAATAAAAAATTAAGTAAATCTTTACCAAAAAAAAAAAAAGTGGGGCGCCTGGGGAGTCTGTTTCTCCCTCTGACCCTCCCCCCTCTTGTGCTCTCTCTCTCTCAAATAAATAAATAAAATCTTAAAAAAAAAAAAGTAACCGCTACATATGAGGCAATGAGGGCACAGTAGCGAATAAGATTAAAAGGGCCCCTGTTGTCATGGAACTTACATCCCGTGGTAGAGTCAGACAAAGAGCGAAATGAACATGTTAACTGCTCATGGTATTGGCATTCTGTGGAAAACAAACATGTGATACGATAAAGGATAACTAATAAAACGTGGGACCAGGGCATTGTACTTCAAGAATAGGGCGGGGTACAGCTCTCTGAGGGGACAGCTGAGCAAAGACATGCAAAATGAGCAGACACCTGCAATGAGGAGCCAAGGAAAATGTGTTCTAGGAAAGGAAGCTCAAGTCCAAGGTCTGAGTCAGGCAGGTGTTTGGCCTGTTCCTAGAACAGAAAGGCCAGTGTTAACTAGAACATGGCCAACAAGGGGAGGGGGGCAAACGAGGCTGGAGAGGAAAGCAGGGGCCAGATTCGCTGCAGGCCCTTATGCATCATGCTCAGGTGCCTGGGTTTTATTCTAAATGGAATAAGGAATCACTGGCAGGTTCTAAGCAGAAGCACCATGTGATACTTCATAAACTTTTTTCAGACTGCTGTGTGGAAGGGGGATGTAGGGGAGCAAAGGGGAAGGAGACCATTTGGGAGGCAACTCTGATGGCCAGGTGAGCGAGAGGGTGACTGGACGGCACAGGTGGGAACGGCGACAGAGAGCAGGGGACGTGGGTCCTGTTTGGAAGGCCAAGCCAACAGGGCCTGCTGACAAGCTGGCTAGGGGGACTGAGGCACCAGGAAGACCTGGGGGGGGGGTCTCAGCTTCAGGAACGAGGTACACCGTAGTGGCCTTTAGCGAGATGGAGGAGCTGAGGGCGGGGTGGGGGTGGGAGTAGATTGATTAGAAGAAGGGGGGGATCGAGAGTTCAGTTCTGATTGCTGAGCTTGAGATGCAGCCTGAGCATCTGAGAAGTGGTACAGCAGCTGACAGTCAAACGTGGAAGTCAAGGGTAAGGGTGGATTAGATACAAATATGGAATAACATTTTAAGCCAAGGGCTAGGACCAAGGACCCAGGACCAAGATGATACCAGGAGGCTAAAAATACGAGCAAAGACATATGGATCAATAGAAAGTGGGCACAGTCATATTTACATTAAAGTGAGCTAGTAGGCACGAAGCATTACCTGTGAATAAAGAAGAATTACCTTACAGTGATCAATCAGCAGTGACCAAGTGAGAGGATCAAACCTTTCCACGAAAACCAGGAACAAGGGAGCACTGGTCACATGTTTATCTTGTGCCAGGCATGGCTGGGGGCTTTCTAAGTTCTCTCAGGTGACCTACCTTCACAACAAGCTTGTTGAGTTGGGTGTCATCCTGGGACAAAGGTGAGAGATCAAGCCTTACTGGCTGACCAGGTGTTTGAATTCCTGCTCTATGACTCACTAGGGATGTGACCTTGAGCCCCTAGAATAAAGTCCATAAGGCTTAGGTGTGCCTCCCTCGTTCTCCTCCTCTCATTCCACTCTTCCCCTCGCCTACTCTGCTCCTCACTTACTGAACTTGTTCCAGCTCAGGGCCTTGCTTTCTGTGCTTCCTGCCTACTATATACCCTTTTCCCAGATTTTCTTCACAGGGCTGACCCCTTCAGGTCTCAGATCAAATGTCACCCCCTCGGGGAAACCTGATGTGGCTCTCCTACCTCATGTCCCAGGGGAAACAGGAAGAAGGAAATAATATTATAAATAGGGAAAAGATGTCTTGGGGAAAAAAAAAAAAGTGGAATTCAAATCCAAGAGTTGGTAGTTATGAACAAAACTTGAAGAGCTCCAACTAAGAAATAAAATAATTTCACAACAAGAAACACTAGAAGCTGTTTTTAAAAGTATATTAGCTGATGCACTATACGTTGGCTAACTGAATTTAAATTAAAAAAAAAAAGTATTTCAGCAACTCAGTTTCACACTTTCAAGAGCTGGTCAAGCACAGACAGGACAGTATGCTAAGCAGACTCAGAATGCCTATTCAACAACGTATAGTGAGAAACACGCCAAAGAGCACGAAATGTTCCTATTGGCTAATCAGTATAGTCCCTCCTCTGTACAAAAATCTACCAGGAAGCAAAATTATAACCAGAAGGTTGTTTAATGAAGGGTTCAGCACCGAGTGAGGTGGCGGAGAGATCTATGTCACAGCTGGTCCCCATGGCACAGGGCCAATTCCCCCATCTTCATTGCGATACAGTCTCACCACAGAGTCCAGGGACTGGCCTTCGCTGGCCGGTGCTCCCTCCCCTCAGTCTAGTACAGGGGACACTATGACAGCTTCCTGTTCTTTGCCTATCATTATACTAACCGATTTCTTGTACAGAAAGAGCCTGCTGTCAAGAGGATCAGGTTGGAATGGAACCACTCACTTTGACTGGTTTTGGTGTTCTCACTGCTTTGCAGCCTCCATTTCTTGGAACGGAATTATTTCCACAATGGTCGGACTCCCATTTGAGATAGTGAGTCTTCCTAAAGCCACTCTCAGATGAACACCTTATTGAGTGCTTGGGAAGCTACGGTCACTCATTTACTCAACAACTGCCACCTATCAGATCTTGTAGATCACGATTCTCAATTCTCGTAGCTCTTCATGGAGCTTACAGTCTAGCGGGGGTGGGGGTGGTGCGGACATTAACCCAATCAACACCCAAGTAAACATAAGTTGCCAACATGAGACAGTGCTGTCAAGGAGAAACACAGGCTATTCTGGAAGTATAAGATTTCTTTTTTTTTTTTTTTAAGATTATTTATTTATTTATTTATTTATTTGAGAGTGAGCAGGAGAGAAACAGCATGAGAGGGGAGAGGGTCAGAGGGAGAAGCAGGCTCCCCGCTGAGCCGGGAGCCCGATGTGGGACTCCATCCCAGGACCCTGGGATCATGACCTGAGCTGAAGGCAGCCGCCTAACCAACTGAGCCACCCAGGCGCCCTGGAAGTATAAGATTTCTAATCTACTCTAGGGAACCAGGAAAGGCCTCCCAGAGGCTAATATGGAAGAGGAACAGAGAGCCCATTGTGGCGGGAACCCAGAAAGCCAAGAGGAGAGGGCAGAGAGAGGCTGAAGTCAGATTTCAGAGGGCCAGTGTGTCGGTTTTTAACCATTTATTAGTTTTAAGCTCAAATCACCATGATCAGATCTAGACTTTACAAAGATCAGCAAGTAGAATGAATCAGGAGAATCAAGAACTAATCCCTACAACGTTGTCAATTATACATCAATAAAGCTGAAAACAAAAGAATTAATCTCACCTCCACCTCCTCTCTCAGCTTGGGATCCTCAACTTCTGGAATAGTGGAGGTTCGTTCATGCATTCATGCATCCAGTTTGTTGAGAGTCTACTCCGGGCCAAGCATCGTCCTAGGGGTTGAGAGGCGGCGACAAGAGCGAACAAGAGCTCTGGGCGCGGGGTCGGCTCGAGTGAGGTCTACAGGATTGGGAAGCCGTGAGAAGAACCTTAGACTGGGGTGACCGCTTTCTAAATGCCGGAGCCTGAACAAGTCAGTTGAACCCTTCCCCCGGACCTGTTTTCCACATTTGTAAAATGGGAACCTACTTTGCAGGGCTCTTGTGAAAATCGAAGATCACTGTGCACGGCTCCCGCAGTCTGCAGACCCTCAGCGCACAGCCTCAGTGGGCCGCAAGATTCCGGTCATTTCTGGAGGTGGCATGCGGGCTGCAACACGGGCGGCGCGGGCGCAGTGGCAGCGTCTGGGTGAAAAAGTCGTCGCCGCGCCAATGCGCGGCTTGGCCGCCTTCGGCCACGTAGCGAGTCTCGAGCTTTCCCGGATTTCCAGGCTCCAGGTACTTCCCTTGGGCCCCTGTCGCGCCCAAGGCTGCCGCCACCACCGACAGCAGTGGAGAAGGACGCAACGCGACACTTGCCGCAAGCTCCTACCCGGGCCATGGCGAGGCTGTGGCGTCCCGAACGCATGCGCAGCCGGTCCGCCCGCACGCGACGGGGCTCGTCCCGCCCAGCCAGGAGGCGGGGCCGTGCAGCCTGGGCCCCGCCCCGGAGCGTCCGGCCCCGCTCCGGGCCCCGCCTCCAGCTCGCCGCGGACGTCCCGGAGCGGGGAGCCGGCCGGCGGAACCGGGCCGGGAGCGCCTGGGCACTTTAAGGAGGGGGGCGGGCCCGGGGGCGGTGGCCCCAGGAGCGGTTGCCGCGGGGACGGGGCGGGGACGCGGCCCGAGGGCGGAAGTGAAAAAGTTGCCGGCGCCCCGAGGCAAGTTGGCGGAGCTGTGCGCGCGGCGCGACGATGGGGGGCTCGGGCAGTCGCCTGAGCAAGGAGCTGTTGGCCGAGTACCAGGTGCGCGGGACGCCGGTCCCCGGGGAGTTTGCGCGCGGGCCTGCGCTGGGGAGCGGGGTCCCGGGGCGGGCGACAGAGCTGGCGCGGCCTCCGGGAGGCTCGCTGAACCCCTCCCGTTTTGCCTTCCAGGACTTGACGTTCCTGACCAAGCAGGAGATCCTCCTGTAAGTGCCGTGTCGAACCTCAGCTCCCGGATCCTCTAGAGGCGGCGTCGGGGGTGGGGGGCTCTGTCCACAGACGGGCAAACTGAGGGCCCCCCACAGGGAGTGACAGGGGCCCGCCTGCGGTCCGCGGCCGCGCCGGAGGTGGCGCCCGGGCCCCGAGCCCCGGGCAGTGCCCTCCGCCGGTCCCGCCCTCCCTGCCGGCTCGGGGGCCCCCCCCGCCCCGCTGCGCACCGCGGGGGGCCACCTAGCAGCCTCGGCCCGGCTGGGCGCTCCGGGGCCTGCGCTCGGCGGGTTTCTGCGTAACCGAACTTCCTGCCCCAGCCCGGCAGGGGCTGCTGTGGCTCTCCGCGGACGTCGCCGACCCGGAGCCCGGCTCCCGGTAACTTGATCTGAATCAACACGGTAACCGTTAACGCTTACTGAGCACTCTCCGTGCGCCAGGAACTGTGCGAAGTGGTTGCCTGCATTACCCAATTTAATCCTCAGGAGGGAGGTGCCGGGACAATGAAACAGGTTTCAGAGAAGTTTGGTAACTTGCCTAAGACTACACTCCAAGTGAGAGGATTTGACCTCGGGCTGGAACCCCCTTCCTCGCCGCGGGCCAGCTTTTTGTGGTCAAGGCACTTGAGAGAGGAGATTCCTTGGCTCCCCTTGGCAAAAATAATGCCAGTGGGAAGGAGGGGAGGGCTGAGGAAGAGATCGTTTAGGGTAGTTGCTACAAAGGGGGAGGCTTTGCTGGAGATTCCTGGAGTGAAATGGGAAAGAGATTTCAAACTCTTTTCTCCCTGTTTTTCAGGGCCAACTTCTGGCTCCTTTTGCAGCCTCTCCATCCCTCAGGGAGCTCTAGAACCAATGCCCAGTACAGTGCCTGGCATGCTTTAGGCCCTCAGTAAATACCCATGGCATGAATGCACTCTCAGCCCACAGTCTTGTGACATATGGGACTACACGGGTGGTCTCCCTTTGGCTTATGCCTGATGACTGAGAAGTTCTGTGTATGTGCCTTAGCTCCTCACCTGGTTTGTAATGGGTGACAAGGCAAGGAGTGGGGATGTAATACACACAGGAAGGTTTGCCAACAGGTTCCTCTCCTTCTGCCAGAGCCCACAAGCGGTTTTGTGAGTTGCTCCCCCCAGAGCACCGGAGTGTGGAGGAGTCACTGCAGATACGAGTGTCCTTGGAGCAGATCCTCAGCCTTCCAGAGCTCAAGGTGCCAGTCCCCCACCCTCCCTCTGCAGTTTGTCTCGGAGATCATGTGGTCACTGGTCCCCATTCTGGTCTTCTCTCCATTTAGCCCTGATTTCCTGGGGACAAGGGCTTTACCAAAATCACCCAGTGGAATGAACTAGAGTGGTGTTTTGCAAACTGGGATTCTTGGACACATTCTTGGAGAGTCAAAGAAGTTTTGTCTTTTAAAAGGAGTTGAGCTACCTTATTCAAGTTTGAGAAACCCATTCCAGAGGCTGATTGCCTCTCCGTAGGGTTGCTGTGAAAAATTTTTTTTAAAGATTCTTATTTATTTGGGAGAGGGAGTCGGGGGAAGGGCAGGGAGAGGGACAAGCCGACCCCACACGGAGCCTGACGAGGGGCTCCATCTCACCACCCTGAGCGGAAATCAAGAGTCTGACAGCTGCCTGAGACACCCAGGGCGCCCGACTGTGGAGATTTTTATGCAAAGCGCTTGGCCTAGTGCCTATAACACAGTGAGCGTTCAAGTAAGTGTGTTTTCAAGTAACCAGCCCATCTTGTTCTCTTTGCTTAGGATGCTTTCATCTTCCTTCTCTGCCCCTAGGCCTGCCTTTGGGTTAAACTGACTCACAGGAAGCCATCCCTGTCCCTTCCCCAAGTCAGGTGGTCCTCCTGCCCTCCATGCTGGCCCTAAAAGACTGATCCTTCTCTCCGCTGAGCCTGAGCTCATGGAGCGGGTACTGTGACCTGCTTCCTCCAGTTCCTGGTAGGGTTTGAGGAGTGTGTGACCTGGGCTGCACCTGTGGCCTTCACACAAGGCTCTCTTGCCTAGGCCAACCCCTTCAAGGAGCGGATCTGCAGGGTCTTCTCCACATCCCCAGACAGGGACAGCCTGAGTTTCGAGGACTTCCTGGACCTCCTCAGTGTGTTCAGTGACACAGCGACTCCAGACATCAAGTCCCACTATGCCTTCCGCATCTTTGGTGAGAGCTAGGAGCAGCTTGGCGGGACACAGGCCTGTCCCCACACGGTCTTGGTGGTGGTGTACCGCTCGGGACCTGGGGGCCTTCTGTGGAGGCTGGAGGCTCCCCCTGACCACATTCTTTCTGGCTTCCTGTGTCTGTCTCTAGACTTTGATGATGATGGAACCTTGAACCGGGAAGATCTGAGTCACCTCGTGAACTGCCTCACAGGACAGGGTGAGGACACTCGTCTTAGTGCTTCAGAGATGAAACAGCTCATTGACAACGTGAGTAGCTGGGCCGGGCCAGGGAGCCAGAGGGAAGGGCTGGGACTAGGTCTGAAGCTCTCCCTTCCCCAGATCCTGGAAGAGTCCGACATTGATAGGGATGGCACCATCAACCTCTCAGAGTTTCAGCACATCATCTCCCGTTCACCGGACTTCGCCAGGTAGGACGGTAGCGGTCCCCCCTCGTTCTGGGCCCCCATCTGCTGCACCTGGGTCTGGGATGTGAGGATGCGCGGCAGCAGCCGGGCTGGGAAAGCCCCAGTTCCTCTCAGGGTCTCAGGGTAGCTCTTCCAAAGGGGAGGGACAGACGTGGGACAGCCCATTCCAAAGGGTCTGAGGGAAGATGTGGGCAAGTTTGGGGTTAGCCCCTCCCCTCCTCTTTCAGCAGAAAACCTGACCCACTCTTCTCTTGTTCAGCTCCTTTAAGATCGTCCTGTGACAGGAGCCATGGCGTGTGTCCCAGCGAGCACCCCGTCAGAGAGCCTTTCCACTGCTGAGCTGTGGCCGAGGTCATGCCTGTGTTGCCAGGGCCGGCCAAGCTGGCCTAGCCCAGAACTGGCACCGTGTGGTCCTGCTCCAGGCAGGGAAGGCCCCTCCAGACCAGGGCCTCTCTCTTTCTGTCATTGTCATCGCTCTGTTTGTGTTCTACTGATCTATAATAAAGGTTTAGACGTTTCGATCCTTTGCGTGATACTAGAAACATTGGTATGAGGAAGGACTGGACTTCCAGAAGCCTTCGGTCATACTGGAAAGAACAGGATCTAAAGGGCCAGCAGGAAGTCAGACTGTAGCCCACCCGGCCCTCCCCTCGCGAGGGTGTGAGCAGGAAGGGGTAGCCTGACAGATGGAACGCTATATCCTGATGCTGGTGGTGCTTACAGAATTTCCGCACGTAAAAATTTAGAGAACTGTGTGCCAAAAGAAAAACCCACTGCCAATTTCACTGTATGATCATTTAAAAAAATAAACATTTTTTAAATTAAAGAAAAAAACAAAACCCAAAAAACATGAACAAAACCTCTGGTCCTCTGTGCTCCCACCCTGAACTGAACTGGGGGAGGTGCAGAGTAAAGGGGTTGAGGGAAAACGAATGAATTCCTTGCCCCTCCCATCAGTGCATTAAACTTCCCACCTTTAGGACCACACTCCCCTGGGAGATGGGAGTCGGCCAGGCCAGGATCGCTCTGGCCCACTAGCCCCTGGAAAGTGGAGGCTCAGAACTCCTCAAAATTCAGAGAACTGGGCCAACCTCAAAAAAGGGACAGTCTTTTGAGAGGAAGGGCCATGATTCTGTTTCTGTTCCTTAGATTTTATTAAAAAAAAAAAAAAGTAAAGTGCCTCTTATAAAAAAAAATATAAAACCCACATAAACTCGGGGTTCCTGTGTAGGGCAGTGTCAGTACCCCTTAGAGGGGGAGCAGGCAGGTAGAGGGGGTGAACCGGGGGCTGGGCTCTGGGGAGGAGTCCAGGGTGGATGGGTTCGAAGGCTGGGATGGAGGAAGGCAGGCAACAGTCTCCTCCTTGACTTCAAGGGAAAGGCGTCCATTGTCCTAAACTCTCTCCTGGGCTCACGCTGCCCCTCTCGCACGTGGCCACAGCCTGATACAGGCCGGAAAGGTCCAGCAGGTGAATCTGAGCCCAAGGCCTTGTGACAGCTGCGGTGGCAGCGTGGCCCTCGGGTCCCTGAGGTGACGGGATGGTAAATGTAGTAAGTCGGCCAGGCGGCAAGGCAGGACCCACGGAGCCCGAGCCGGCCCCTGCTTCTGGGGGACGAGGGGCAGCCGGTGGCAGCAGGGTAAGGCAGAAGGTGGAAGAGGCCAGCTGGTGGGGATGGCCAGCTCTGTCTCAAGCACTCTGGGTGAGTCGGCCATGCCTCCAAGGCCCCGCGGCGCAGCCGTTCACGCCCATGGAGCTCTGTGATGTGCCGTTCTTCTCAATCGCTTCACATTTGCAATTGTTTTTTAAACAAAGGGCTCAGTTTTACACAAGGAGCACTGTTCTGCCCTTCCAGGCAGGCCCCCATTTGCAA